AGATCCGAAGCCCGTCAGTCGCCGTATCGCTGGGTGCGTGAGCAACCCGCGAAATCGCCCAATGTCCGACAACCGGCCCTTCGCATACCATTCCGGCCAGTTTTCCGGGTTCGCCGGCTGCTTCACGACGAGCGACCAGCGAGGCCAGAAGATGGCGTCGTGCGTTGGTATGGTCTGGAACTGTTTCATCAGCGTCGTGAGGTCCTTTAGGTACGTGACGATCGGCGGAAGCAAGAACGATTCGCGGGCCATGATCGTCTTGTGAGCCCACGCAGCGATGCACGCAAGCGCGACCGGAACATAGTTCCGCGTCCAACCTTTCTCCTTTGGCAGCGGAACGCCCGTCCGAGCAAACGCTAACGCGCCCGGTATGTCCCATGTCAAGTCAGGTAAACGGATCGGCGGGCGCGACGGGCCTGCCTGCGCTACCGGAGCTTGTGCCGCAGGCTTCGGCTTGTTCTTCGCCGCCGTGCGTCCAGGCTTCGGGGCAAGCACAACAGGCGGAGTTTCCGCAGTGACCGATGCCCGTGGACCACCGAGCACGTTGCGGTGGCCACAGAGATGGACCACCCACGTCAGGAAGCTGGGCTCCTTCGGGAACGCCTGCTTCAGCGAAGGAAAGAGCTGGCGGATCATGTCCTCCGCCTCTTTCTCCATGTCCGCCGGCTTACGTTCCTTGTTAGCAGAACCGCGCGCACTACCTGGGGCGATGTCCGTGACACCGGCCGCAATCGGCTTGTCCATCCCGGTACGTATGTGCTTGTACTCGGTGTCGAACTCGATCTGCTGAGCGGTCAGCCTCCCGTAACAGTAGGCCAGCAACGGCATGAACCGCGTCCGTTTTGCCCACGACAACATCACGATCTGACATCATCCGGTGAGCACAGTCTCCGATCTGTATGTTGTACCACTGACCTTCGCAGCCAGGCTCTCGCTCACTGGCCCAATGTGCTTCTTCAGACCGCCCATCAGCTCAAGCGCAGTCAACGCGCCCACCAAGGCACCGGCCGACTTGTAGCGCAGGTCGTTGCCGACCGCACAAGCAAACAGTGACATTGGCTCGAGCACGAACGCGAGCTGACACCGGTGAGTAACAATCACCAGAGCACGGAGCGATGTACTTACCCAGATCCATCCCAACTCGTGCGTCGCACGGTCAACCAACAGGCACGAAATCAAGCCGTGCGTGATCAGCGGTGCGGCCGTGACAACCGCGGCGCCCTGCGCCTCCACACTCCATGGATGGTACACGAACCGGATCCGCGCGAGGACCGCTGCACGATGCGCAATCTCCGCATCCGTGTCGCATGGCAGGAGGTCAGCCATGGCAGCATGCAACGCATCACCGTACGCACGCATCTGCTTGCAAGCGTCAGTCGTCCGCAGGTACAGCAGGCGCGGATCGTCCTCGACGATGTGCTTCTGGTGCAAGATCTCCAGAGCCTCGAAGACTTCCGGAGTGTACATAGAGTAGTCGGGCACCGCACGCAGGAACGCTGACCGAAGCCGGTTCATCGTACCGTACTCCTTGATGGTGTCCAGCGCGGCACTCTCCTGGCCGTCCGCACCGTATATCTTCTCGCCCTCCTTCGCATGGTGTGCGTGTACGAACGCGTCCCAGTCCGTACATGCTTGCGTAACCTTGTCGTCCGACAGCGGGAAATCCTGCTTCGAGCCGATCAGGCCCATCGTCCGGTGCAAGTCGAGGACGGGGTAGATGACCGCCTGTATGACGTAGATAGTTAGCCACAATCAAAATGGATTAACCTGATACTCACTCCAAACGTCGTCGTCGCTTCCTGCTCGAGTTCTCGCCACCGCATGATGCCGGTATTCTCAAAGTGGGACCCGAGCGACGTGAGTGCGATGCAGAATCGTGCGAGCGGAAGACAGTGCACGATGCGCGAGAACATCGTGTTCGCGTGGTGCCCGCCCTTGACCTGTCGTTCCGCCTGCTGAGCCTCCTTGTGGGTCTCCTGCTTATCGCGCAGGACTTGGACGAGTTGCGACGGTTTGATCTCACACAGCGACTTCATCTCCATCGTAAACTTCTCTTGATCCCCCTCCACCTTCTTCCGTGCGTCGCGGTTTCGCGCGAGCGTGTTGATCGCCGCAGGTGAGAGTTTATCTAAGGATGGTATGAGTGATCGTGCGAGATTTGTGAGAACAATATGAACGCACCGCTATCGAAGACCTCCGCCAACCACCACGCCCGCTCGTGCATGTACGCATGCGCATTCTCCACGTCCTGTTCACGTTGCTTGAGTTCGGCCCTCCACGCCTCCGATGTCTTGAACGAGGCCTTCCAATCGTCCACGCGCTTCTCCGTGCGCACGATCGCATTCTCACCGTCCTGGTGCCAGTCGGCAGACGCGTGCAGGCGATGCTGCCCGGCGATCACGTCAAGCACGACCTTCGATTTCTCGTCCTCAATCGCCTGGGCTGCAAGCTGCAGCTTCGGCGTCTTCGAGCCCTTGTGACCTGACACGATGAACGACTCGGGGCTGACTGATCCACCCGGTACGGCGAGCAGAAGCGCGTTCTCCTTGAGTACGTTGCGAGGCTCGTGCTTCAGGTCTTTCACGATACCCTCGCGGTGGTGAGCATTGAGCGGGCGCGGGTTCCAACGTTGGTACAAATAGTCGACCTGCATTGCTCTCATAAGCCAGGGCGATGCCGGCACGAGCGTGAAGCCGAGGCATGCTTCCGCCGCCTCTGCGAGAAGCTCAGCCTCCCGATCCTGTTCAGCGCCCTGACCGGCCGTCATGGGCATTGGGATCCCCCCGATCACGTCCAAGTCCGGTTGAATCTACATTGACAACTGTCAGTGTCGATCGGCCACTGATTTGATAACGGTACGTACCTCTTCATACTGCAGCGACTGATCGGAAGGCCCAGGCGACCGAGACGAGCCACGGTCAGACATGGCACAGCACAGATGACAAGCAGAGTGAGATGAAGAGCGTAGAGATGTGCGCGAACGCGCGATCGATCTGTGGGCGTATGTTTAACAAGGTAAGTGTGCCCCGAACGCATGGCTACGGATACGTCCGAAGCACATGATCGTGTGACATTACCCGCACTCGCGCAGCCAGCGCGAGTGCGGGTAAAGATACCGATTAAGATCAATGGATCCGGTCTCTCAATGCTACCGGTCTTTCATTATTTACCCGCACTCGCGCCGGCGACGCGAGTGCGGGTAACGGTACATCAAATCGTACTACAACTACCCGCACTCGCGTCGCCGGCGCGAGTGCGGGTACTGTTCGTGTAATTCTATTGTTATTTACCCGCACTCGCGCTGGCGACGCGAGTGCGGGTAGTGTTTGTGTAATTCTATCGATGTTTACCCGCACTCGCGCCGCCGGCGCGAGTGCGGGTAGTGTGTCACATAATTAGTGTGTCGTTACCCGCATTGGCGCTGTCGGCGCGAGTGCGGGTAAATGACTGTATATCATAGTGTCCGGTTACAATTTATATGAATCGCAACATGATCATCGTGTGTACGGTCTGTTGCGGTGCAGACACACACGGTCAATCATGCACGCCATTGTATATCATGTCGTCAAGGAGATACATTGTACAAATATGGAGAGCGTAAGGATATCAGCGACACACATCGCAGTCCGTGTTCAGACGAGACTGCTGATAATCATCAGAAGTAAGTCACTTGATTGTGAGTGTGATGAAACGGAACAATAAACTCACCGAGGTGTTACGAGTACAGACACCATGTGGTTGCTATACAGTGTCAGTGACGTGCAGTACTGAGCAGAGACCCGATCTATAAGGAGGGCGACGGCGGTGTCGATGTGGCGCGCGTAACGCGCGTGGAAAGCACATGGCGTCCACGTTCGCCGCGTGGCCTCATGTGGCGCACCCTCCTCCCATAAGCTCCCGGCGTCTGCCGCCCGCGGGCGCCTGCGCGAGCCAGCCCGAGGTGTCCCCGAGGTGGAATTTCACGAAGTGCCGGGAAAAATGAGTAGAAAAAAATACATACAGTGTACACATAGGTGCATAAATGGGAAGCCGGAGTGATGGGAAGAAAAATCACAACTCAGTGCTGGGAAATAGGTCATCTCAGTGCCGGGAAATTAGCACTGAAAGACCACAAAGGAAATGCAATGGGAAAGATTGAGTAGGGAAATGTGTGCCTAAAATCAATGTTAATGGCAAGCATGAGTAACGGGAAAATTGAGCAATGTCAGGACTCAGTACTGGGAAAACTTGAACAGGGCATCTCAGTCCCAGGGAAAATAGTGTGGATTAGCACAGAGAGAACAGTATATAGGTTCCTCCTGGGAAGTAGAAATTAAATATGAGAAAAAATCAATATTGGGAAAACAGGACACCTCAGTAACGGGAAATAATGGGAAGGCACATTTCACTGGCAATAATGGGAGTAAGTACCAGGAAAACACACCTCAGTGTTGGGAAAACAGTAGAAATTAGACCAGGGAAATGAGATATCAATCCCAGGAAAACAGGAAATCTCAGTGCTGGGAAAACACCGGGAAATATTGAATAAAAATGTAACCACAAGAGCAACACACAGCATTGAATGAATCAGATATGGGCTGGCATGGCCCAAGCATGTAATCTTAAGAGTAACATGAAGCAGTGAATGAAAGATTGCTGCCAGACCTGTGGCGAAGCCCAGGTCTGGCAGGCTCAAGCATGTAATTGTAGGAGTAACATGGAGCACAGAATGAAAGAACCACTGCCAGACCTGTGGCGAAGCCCAGGTCTGGCATGCATTAACATTGTAATCTTATGGGCGACATGAAGCAGTGAATGAAAGAACCGCCCCGTCAACCCGTGGCGAAGCCACGGGTTGGCGACGCTCGTCAACTCACAACACATGTCGGCGAGCGTGACATACGGCACATACGAAACAAGACAATAAATGACATTAACACAATTCACAGCGAACGCACCAGAGAGCAATCAGACGAGCAGACTGGCCAACCTAATATGTTGATCAAGCGCCACGATGAATGCTACCACGAGTTCTCCCACGGCTGCTGGATTGCGCGCGTACTGCTGGTCCGGTATGCTGAGCGGTAGATGGACGGGTGCGCAGGCGTGCAGTGTACGGTAGGTCTGTGGTGACGTCCCCAGTGTGTTCCTATAAAAACAAGAATGAGAGCAGTGAGACGACTCGTTGCATACAGAGATCTGATAAGCCTGCGTACGTCTTGCGGCAACGCACTAACACCTCGTGGAGGCTCCGGTGAGCGAGTGATGGCGACGTCACATATGGATAGCAGTGCCTTCACAGTGCCTGCATTCAGTGTCGATGACTCTCCATCCAAAGTCGATCTAGCCTGCCATTTGAACAGCAAGCTCCCGAGTGCATCTGGTACATGCTCGATCCTCAGTGTCGTACATTGTATGCCGTTTCACGGATAACGCACCCTTGTACTCCGTGAGACAGCATCGCGCATCCTTGATCAACTTGTCGTTCTTGCCGTCTGCTTCGGATGAAGCAAGATATTGCAGACGAACAAAGAGCATGGCGATATGGGCCGCGTTGTCCCAGATGTGTTGCTCGTCATCTGCAAGCACTGGGGCTACCATGTCGTCATGGACAGCCACTCTGCCTCTATACCAGATCGCAAACATGGACACCGTCGGCATCTGCTGTCCTATCTTCTCGAACTTGTCGGCGGTCACGAGAATGTTGCACTGCGGCGGATCGCCACGCTCCAGTTCGCCACGCTGACAGTACTCGATCATTGACGGCAGGCACAACATGCGAGAGACATTCATTGGAGATGGATCTTGTAGAGCTGGGAGCATCGTTCAGTGACATGTAGATATCGGAGGCATCTCAGCATGCGTCTGAGATATCAACCACACTACCCGCATCCGTGCTGTCGGCGCGAGTGCGGGTAACGCGTGTACATTTCTATAACGATCTACCCGCATCCGCGCTGCCTGCGCCGATGCGGGTAACGTGTAGCATATTTGACACAACACTACCCGCATTGGCGCCGACAGCGCGGATGTGGGTAAATTGCTGTGTCGTAGGGTTCCTTACCCGCACTCGCCCCGCCAGCGCGAAAGGGGGTAACGCATGTGCATAAAACAAGACATTGTGTGCCATTGACACAGAATGTATGGGTTTCCTTTGTGTGTGTATATATTCAGGTAGTGTCTATGAACCAGTATGTACTGTGATGACTCACGCATTAACCCCCACCTGCGCTGTAGCGCGAGTGCGGGTAACTGTCTCGGACAGTGGTCGTTTACCCGCAATGGCGCACGTAGCGCGAGTGCGGGTAGGGAAATGGGAAATTGATGGGTGTTCTCCATGCGCAGAGGTCCAGTTTTTTGTGAAAATCTGCCCCTGACCCCTCCCTGACCCCGAATATTGGTCGAAAATCCCCTATAATCGGCTTGTCCATCCCGGTACGTATGTGCTTGTACTCGGTGTCGAACTCGATCTGCTGAGCGGTCAGCCTCCCGTAACAGTAGGCCAGCAACGGCATGAACCGCGTCCGTTTTGCCCACGACAACATCACGATCTGACATCATCCGGTGAGCACAGTCTCCGATCTGTATGTTGTACCACTGACCTTCGCAGCCAGGCTCTCGCTCACTGGCCCAATGTGCTTCTTCAGACCGCCCATCAGCTCAAGCGCAGTCAACGCGCCCACCAAGGCACCGGCCGACTTGTAGCGCAGGTCGTTGCCGACCGCACAAGCAAACAGTGACATCGGCTCGAGCACGAACGCGAGCTGACACCGGTGAGTAACAATCACCAGAGCACGGAGCGATGTACTTACCCAGATCCATCCCAACTCGTGCGTCGCACGGTCAACCAACAGGCACGAAATCAAGCCGTGCGTGATCAGCGGTGCGGCCGTGACAACCGCGGCGCCCTGCGCCTCCACACTCCACGGATGGTACACGAACCGGATACGCGCGAGGACCGCTGCACGATGCGCAATCTCCGCATCCGTGTCGCATGGCAGGAGGTCAGCCATGGCAGCATGCAACGCATCACCGTACGCACGCATCTGCTTGCACGCGTCAGTCGTCCACAGATACAGCAGGCGCGGATCGTCCTCGACGATGTGCTTCTGGTGCAAGATCTCCAGAGCCTCGAAGACTTCCGGAGTGTACATAGAGTAGTCGGGCACCGCACGCAGGAACGCTGACCGAAGCCGGTTCATCGTACCGTACTCCTTGATGGTGTCCAGCGCGGCACTCTCCTGGCCGTCCGCACCGTATATCTTCTCGCCCTCCTTCGCATGGTGTGCGTGTACGAACGCGTCCCAGTCCGTACATGCTTGCGTAACCTTGTCGTCCGACAGCGGGAAATCCTGCTTCGAGCCGATCAGGCCCATCGTCCGGTGCAAGTCGAGGACGGGGTAGATGACCGCCTGTATGACGTAGATAGTTAGCCACAATCAAAATGGATTAACCTGATACTCACTCCAAACGTCGTCGTCGCTTCCTGCTCGAGTTCTCGCCACCGCATGATGCCGGTATTCTCAAAGTGGGACCCGAGCGACGTGAGTGCGATGCAGAATCGTGCGAGCGGAAGACAGTGCACGATGCGCGAGAACATCGTGTTCGCGTGGTGCCCGCCCTTGACCTGTCGTTCCGCCTGCTGAGCCTCCTTGTGGGTCTCCTGCTTATCGCGCAGGACTTGGACGAGTTGCGACGGTTTGATCTCACACAGCGACTTCATCTCCATCGTAAACTTCTCTTGATCCCCCTCCACCTTCTTCCGTGCGTCGCGGTTTCGCGCGAGCGTGTTGATCGCCGCAGGTGAGAGTTTATCTAAGGATGGTATGAGTGATCGTGCGAGATTTGTGAGAACATATGAACGCACCGCTATCGAAGACCTCCGCCAACCACCACGCCCGCTCGTGCATGTACGCATGCGCATTCTCCACGTCCTGTTCACGTTGCTTGAGTTCGGCCCTCCACGCCTCCGATGTCTTGAACGAGGCCTTCCAATCGTCCACGCGCTTCTCCGTGCGCACGATCGCATTCTCACCGTCCTGGTGCCAGTCGGCAGACGCGTGCAGGCGATGCTGCCCGGCGATCACGTCAAGCACGACCTTCGATTTCTCGTCCTCAATCGCCTGGGCTGCAAGCTGCAGCTTTGGCGTCTTCGAGCCCTTGTGACCTGACACGATGAACGACTCGGGGCTGACCGATCCACCCGGTACGGCGAGCAGAAGCGCGTTCTCCTTGAGTACGTTGCGAGGCTCGTGCTTCAGGTCTTTCACGATACCCTCGCGGTGGTGAGCATCGAGCGGGCGCGGGTTCCAACGTTGGTACAAGTAGTCGACCTGCATTGCTCTCATAAGCCAGGGCGATGCCGGCACGAGCGTGAAGCCGAGGCATGCTTCCGCCGCCTCTGCGAGAAGCTCAGCCTCCCGATCCTGTTCAGCGCCCTGACCGGCCGTCATGGGCATTGGGATCCCCCCGATCACGTCCAAGTCCGGTTGAATCTACATTGACAACTGTCAGTGTCGATCGGCCACTGATTTGATAACGGTACGTACATCTTCATACTGCAGCGACTGATCCGAAGGCCCAGGCGACCGAGACGAGCCACGGTCAGACATGGCACAGCACAGATGACAAGCAGAGTGAGATGAAGAGCGTAGAGATGTGCGCGAACGCGCGATCGATCTGTGGGCGTATGTTTAACAAGGTAAGTGTGCCCCGAACGCATGGCTACGGATACGTCCGAAGCACATGATCGTGTGACATTACCCGCACTCGCGCAGCCAGCGCGAGTGCGGGTAAAGATACCGATTAAGATCAATGGATCCGGTCTCTCAATGCTACCGGTCTATCGTTATTTATCCGCACTCGCGCCGGCGACGCGAGTGCGGGTAACGGTACATCAAATTGTACTACAACTACCTGCACTCGCGTCGCCGGCGCGAGTGCGGGTACTGTTCATGTAATTCTATCGTTATTTACCCGCACTCGCGCTGGCGACGCGAGTGCGGGTAACGTGTCACATAATTAGTGTGTCGTTACCCGCATTGGCGCCGTCGGCGCGAGTGCGGGTAAATGACTGATTCGTAAGCTTCTTTACCCGCACTCGTGCCGGCAGCGCGAAAGGGGGTAAAATACCCCTACAAAATGGGTATTCGGTAGTAAGTGTATGAGTGACGCATGAATCATTGACGTAGCTATATTATTACTGTACTGTGTTAGTGTGTTGTGTAGAGTAACGATCCCTCTATTCACCCGCATCTGCGCTGTAGCGCGAGTGTGGGTAACGGTCTCGGACAGTGGTCGTTTACCCGCAATGGCGCATGTAGCGCGAGTGCGGGTAAGGAAACAGGAAATTGTTGGGTGTTCCTCATGTGCAGAGGTCCAGTTTTTTGTGAAAACCTCGCCCTGACCCCGCCCTGACCCCGAACATTGGTCGAAAATCCCCTATAATCACCGTTTCCTATGTATTCAAACGATTCCCCATTCATTCTGTGGCTTACAGTGGGCTCCCCCATGTAATTCCTGGCCCGGGCAGGCGAGGTTCGGCCCAAGTGGCTGACTTTCCCACGCCCGGTCCCAGTGCACTCCCCCTGTCCTGAGCCCACCATGCGTTCAAACTACACAAACCATCGGGAATACACTGTGTTTGCATGCCCACAGTGCATTCCCGACGGTTCCATGGCTTACAGTGGGTTCCCCCATCCACTTTCCTACCAGCCATAGGCGGGCATATGCCGAGTTTGGCAGGATGTGGCTGAAGTTCCCACGCATCATACGGCGGTTCTCGGTGCGAGTAAGCCACAGAGCATCATCACATTGCTTACTCGCTCGACGGAGTAAGCGTACATGCTGTACTGACATTCCATAGGTACTACGAACATCCAAAAAAAATCGCGCGGACAGAAAAAAAATCGCGCGGACGAAGAAAATCGCGCGCGCGGTGAATTGTTCGCGTGCGCAACGTGATTTTGCTGACGCGCTCGCGCCGATCGATATTTGTGCGGTGTTCAGAAAAAGCGGGTGATTTGATTTTTGAATCAAAACGAACACCATAGACCCCGAATATTGGTCGAAAATCCCCTATAAATTAGTATTGATGTAACCACCGAGACTACATTACTAATTAGTGACTAAGTGTGGGAACGGTAGGTGGAGGAGGAGGGGCACAAACTCACTCGGCTTCCAAGCCAGCTCGCGGGGCGATCACTGGCCCGTTACGTGGCCTCTCACGAGTCGAAATGTGGTCTGAACGCTCCGCTTTCGACGGCCGTGTAGTTGCTTCCACGGCACCCGACCCCGGGTGCTCCCTGGGGAAATACATGCGAGCAGGCCAGTGCGTTTGAGATCGACGGATGCTACGAATATCGCGCCTCTGCTCTTGGCGTCGCCGTGAACGGCTGCAGCGTGCTCGAGTGGCTGGAAAGCATGTAGCACACCAATGTTCTACCCAAATCATTGTTCGTCGGCACTGGCGTAGAATAATGGTAGTAGTCATACAGTAGCAGTCCAAACTGAAGTCCGTATCGATATATACTCCATACGCACGAATGCCACCCCGCCGGTCTTGCTACGCACTTCTCTACATGATGACGCAATCCTTGTCCTTTCCACCCTTACCTGAGTTGGTGGACGCGTCGTCGCCCGAGTTGCGGTGTAGGACAGAGCCTGCGCCACCGGGGGCCGATATTGGACCGTGGCCCTTGAGACGAGCAGTCGCACGCTTGTCGCCATGCTCGGCGGCCTTTTTGTACCACGTCGTTGCTCTGTGGGAAGGTTCGACTGGGCAGCACAAAGATGAGGAAGGGATGGACGCACTCGGCCATACTGGGCTCTGTTCCGATGCCGACCTCGAGGAAGTACCCTACCGCGTACATCGCCTTCACGAGCCCCGCTTCGCCCGCCTTCTTGGCCCATAAGAACGCCTCAGTGTCCGACTGAGGGAGTACACCGGGTGAGCCGACAAGATACCACGCCGTTAGCGCGAAGCATGCGTCGCGGTGATTCTGTTGCGCGGCGATGTTCTAGAGGCAAGTAGTGAGAGAGGGGACAGAGAGGTTAATGACGACTCACATAGTAATGTATTGACAACGCTGGGTCCTGCGGACAGCCCATCTTGCCATACTCGTAGCATTCCCCTAGCCGGTACGCGCTCGGTGCATAGCCTAGCTCTGCCGCTTGCGCAAGTAGTTCCGCCGAGTATTCGTAGTCGACGAACAAAACGTTGTCGATACCACGCTCGTGTAGCAGAGCCAGCTCGTGCAGCGCGTGCGGGAACTCCGCCGTCGCATGCTCTGCGGACCGCTTGAGGAACGAGACGCCCTCGCGCGGGCTCTTCGACAGCCCAAGCTCGCCGTTGAGGTAGGCAATGCCTAACCGGTACAGCGCGCCCGGGTGACCCGCGGCGGCACTCTTCTTGTAGAACTGCACCGCCTTGGCGGACTCGCGGCGGCACCCCCAGCCGTTCTCGCAACACGTCCCTGCACGGTATGCGGCGTCGGGGTGCCCATGCTTCGCGGCGAGCACGAAGAGAGGGAACGCGTGGTCGAAGTCCTGTCGGTTCTTGTGCGTGCCGATACCGTTTGCATAGCAGTCGGCGAGGAAGTACTGTGATGGCATGTGTCCCCGGTCGGCGAGTCGTTTGAGTAAGGCCATCGCCTCGCGGATGAGGTCCTCCCGCTTCTGCTCAGCCTTCTCGATCTCCATGACGTTACCAAGCGTAGGCACTGGCATGGGCATTGTCTTGGAAGCATCGATCATGAAGACTGCAAATTCGAACTGGAGGTCAGGGTCCTGGGTCTTCTTCGCGTTCGCGCGGTAGAGCTCGAGCGTGCGTTCATGAGAGAGGAGGGCAGCCTGATTTCCTGGCCGAAGATGAGAGTGGTCGAGAATGGGACCAGGCGGCGGAGACGGTGCTCGGACGGACTGAGTGGCGACGGACGGAGCGGCATACTGCTGCTGGTCGCGGAAGTCTGCTTGGGAAGCGTAGAAGTCATCGCCGTCCGGGTCAGGGGGTGTCGGTGAGCCATTATCGTATGCATAGTCGTCGTAGGCTTGCTCTGAGGGGCCTGGCGGCCGTGGCGAGCCGCGTGGTGGGCGAGAGGGGGAGCCGGAGGGACGAGAGGACGGACGTGGGAGGGCGTCGAAGCGGTCGTAGCCCGCATACGGCTGCTGTGGTACTGGGTGCGGCAGATACGGCGAGGAAGAGGGGGGCGTCGCCTGTGCATACATCGCCGGGAGCGGCTACGGCGACAGAGGCGTGGACGTCGAGGACAGCGATGAGGGCGGCGAGGGACGTCGCCGTTCCTGCGAGGTCGTCCGGCTCGGCGTCTATGCCTTTCGCGCTCCGCAATAAGCGCCGCATCCGACCGCACGTTCCTACCGTCCCACACAGAAATAGAGAGAACAGTGCAAGAAAACAAGAGCACAACAGGTAAGCATGCAGTGTACGATGGTAGGACAGCTAGTAGACAATTAGAAATCGAAATCTCGTCCTCCCGCCCCGAATGAGGAGAATCCGCCGCCGCCTCCATAGCCTCCTCCCCCGAAGCCGCCTCCTCCGAAGCCTGCTCCTCCGAAGCCGCCTCCCCCGAAGCCGCCGCCATTCCGATTGAGATGCGCGAAGAGATCATTGATGTCCATGCCCCCCATGCCTCCCCCCATACCTCCCATACCCATCACGTCCTCATCGTCCTCACCCATATCGTACCGTCGTCGCTTGATGGGATCAGACAGGATCGAGTGAGCTTCCACGACCAGCTTGAACTTCTCTTCGTCACCGCCCTGAGAATCTATCGTGAGTGACGAATGCAAGCTAATGATTCAAGACGAACCTTGTCAGGATGATGCTTGAGTGACTCCCGCCGGTACGCCTTCTTGATGTCCACTTCGGTGCATTCCTTCTGGACACCTGTGCAACCTATGAGTGGGATCCCGTATGCCAGCATAGGATATATGCGCACCCAAGATCTTGTAGTAATCCTTGGTCTTACTCCGCTTCAACGCAATCTCGGCCTTCTTCAGCTCGCCCTTCAACGCTTTCACGTCCGCGGCATTGCCGTCATACTCTGCCTGCTCTATGGCAGAGTTGAAGTCTGCGATCGAAGCCTCATACTTTTCGAGGTGCGAGTAAATCCGGGCGCGGGTCCGGAGGGCCTTGAATGAAGCAGGATATAGTCGCAGGGACTCCTCGGTATCCTCCAGAGCGTCCTCGTGCCGCTCGAGCTGGAGGTGTGAGTTGACGTCGGAGGTCATATGCAGTTACAATGGCTGAACGCACCTTGACGAGAGCTGTAGCTCGATTTGAAAGGAGGATGGCACGAATCTGACCACCCTTTCCTTCGTCGGGACTATCGCCAATGCGCTGCGCCTTGGTGAGCAAGGCCCGTCGCTAGTCAAAACAAATGTACACACCTCCAACGCCGCCCCGTACTTATCTGCCGCCTCTTGCAAACGACCCGCCTTGAATGCAGTGTTGCCTTCCTCCTTTAACCGTTCGACGTCCTTGATACGCTTCCGCAACCGCTGAGCAGATTCGTGCCCTGGATCTAAGCGCAGAGCCGACTGTACGTGCTGAAGCGCTTGCGCCGTCTTCGCGGACAAGAAAAGCACAAGGCCCCGCCATGTAAGTGCATCTGGTGAGTTGGGTTCTAACCGAAGAGCCTCGCTGCGAGAAACGTCATCCGAGTGAGCATTGGATGATACGAAATAGAATAAAGCCACGCACCTGGCTGCGATGCCCGCGGCGTCCCAGTTGCCCCTAGCGAGCTCGAGCTGGATTCGCGATAGCCGCCACTGAGTCGGAATATCTCCGCCCTCCGCCTCGATCGTCTGCACACACTTGCCCAACGCCAGCCTCGCCATTGCCCAGTCTTTCCTCTCTTTCGCATCCTCAAAGTGCCGCAGGTGCGCCTCGAGCTCGAGGACCTTCTTTTGCAGCTGGAGGGCCGATGAGTTGGCCGCGTCGATCGCGAGGACGGTACGGAGTGTGGAGAGTGCGGGAGCTGTCGAGCCTGTTGATAGTTGGCAACGGGCGAGGCGGATGAGCGTTTTGGGGGAGGGCGAGTCGGATTGAAGGGTGCGGCTTGTTGGCAGTCTGCGAGTGCGGGCTTGAATCGCTTGAGTGCCATGTACGCAGCAGCGCGATTGGTCAAGTAAGTCGGCTCAGACGGATTCAATACTGTATGGTGCGAAAAAACATGAGCACGCATTGCGCAGAATGCTTAGTCCGTTCATAGGGTGCAAAACACAGTAGCCTTTGCAATGGCCGGGCCACAAGCGAGGCAACAGCTGAGGGAGGCACGTTGTCCACTCAAAGTGGAAAATGGGACATCCGCCGCCGTGAGCGTACATGCAATAGTATCAACTAGACAACCACGAGCATGCGTTGCTAGGTACGTTGACATTGCCGATCTGGCTTGCAGGATACGAACGCGACGAGCTCACGAAGTCACCGTCCTAAAACCTTCATACCTGCTGCAGTGACCCTTGCCCAGTTACTTGGATCGCCAAGTGCACCATCGGCATCCACATATGTTGCTACGCTCGCATACGCACGAATGGGAACTATGGGTACTCACCGATTGCGTGTGTGTACGATTCGAGAGCATCATTGAATCGTTGCGCCTTGAAGGCCGCGTTCCCCTCCTCCTTCGCCTTCTCCGCGAGTTTGATTGCATCGACCTCTTCCGGAGGGGCCGGAGGTGTTGGAGGGCTCTCCGCTTGAGGCGAGGTCGCTTCCTCTGCGTCGCCCATGCTTGTAGGGCTGTCCGACCTGTTACGAAACAACGGTGAGTTATCGGTGGCCTCACATGGACATTGAAAACCAATCGTCGGACCTTTCACTAGGGTTGCCGCCATTGACGGCGGCAGCGGCCTTGGCCTGCTGTTTCTTCTTCTGCTTGGTCTTTTTGTTCGCCATCCTGGGGGTCCCTGTATTCCGGGAAAAGACGGGAGTGCGTGAGGCGGGCAAGGATGGAGGCCCAGGGAAAGGGGACGCGCGGATGGATGGCGGAGAGCAATGTGGCGGCGCTAAAATTCGTCCTCGCCCACAGAAAGCACAGACAGCCACAGACGCGCCATGACTAAGCGCTTGCCGCGTCGCGTCCACAACCCTCATCTCTTCTATCGTGGTATGTACGTGTGACAAACGAATTTGCTGAATTGCATCTATAGTATACAGGTACTAGTGCATGGTATACGACCCTGCCCGGCCCAGTAGGCGTCGCACAGCATGTAAGTTGTGACCCTCATCACCAGAACGTTACATCGACCCGCACTCACGGACCCTGTCTCATGTACGACGTGCGTAGGAGTATTATCTGTATACCAGTCAGACGGAGTGTACATACTCCTACATGGTGTACGCGATATAGAATGACTATAATCGGCCGATGCCTACGATTCCTGAGTCTCTCTCGGTGAGTAGGACTTCAAGTTAGATCATCTGTGTCTGTTGACGCCTCACGCCAGGTTCCCGCGGATCACAAACGACGACTCGTACCTGCTGGGAAAATTGGAAAGTCGTCATGGACTAAATCCCAACACCCGGCGTGCAAGAGAAACTTGTACACTTCTGTCTTCTGTGCCGTCCCGATCCGAGTCGCAGCAGTCGAATGCCCGTTCGCGACGCGCTCGACAATTTAGGACGCTGCGCCCATCCATTGAACCTCATACGTGCTTACATCCCTTAGCACTGTGCGTCCAACATCGGACCAAGCTACCCATATATGAAAATACCAGTGGTACCGTGGCTTTCAAGGATCCCTGGCAGATAGTACGCAGCTATTTATGAAATAACTCGCCGGACTCATGAAATCGTCTAGTCAGGGCACACCGCACGCGCGACTATCAGAGCATCTCAACCACTGTCATTCTGCCTCTTCCCGTATCTGCCGGACTATCGGACGTGGACACATTCCGAAGAACCGAACTAGAACCGACGAGATTCCCTCGACCGTCTCTTTCGAAAAAAATAGGAGTCCATATTCATACATCCCCAGAGAAAAGACCCGCCGTCAATCGCAGTGGGTGAATGACCACCAAACGATCGAGTTGTCTTTGAAAGTAGATTCCAAAGTGCGATATACGCCGCTTCGCACCGCTAACCCCGTTTCGTCCACGCCAGCGCCCGTTGCGTATCCTGTGAAAAGCAACAAATACACATCGGGGATCCTGTATGGAATCGCGGTGAGTTTAAAGGTGGTGCCCGGCGAACGGGGTTACCGGACCACTCGGAGCAAAGTGGCCAGTCATGGCTTTCAGCGGGGCAGTCTACGGACGATACAACCGTCTCGGCCGAAGAAACATGCTGGCAATAGATGAATACTTCTCAGCCCTTTCTAGTGTCTGCAGACGTATCAGCACATGCGGCTTAGACGTCGGTAGACTGCTACCGGTATGCATAAAAGGCCACAGCTTGCTGAGGAACACGCTTGCATCTTGCATAGTTGAGGTAAGCAATGGAGGAACGCATACATATTCGGAGTCAAACAACGCTTTCATTGAACCGGTGAACGTACATTCACGACCGATTCACAGTCGTGATATTTTCGCCCCGCTACTCAGCACGGGATCATGATGCAGGCATACATTTTCCGTGAGAGGCGGACAAAGACTGCAAAGGCATACGGTTATGTTTGGATCGTGCCTTCTCCAATTGTTGTCATGAGCACGGGAATTGGCACCACATTCGCACAACAGAAGACACCGTCATTGTGGAGGACAAAACGCCTGCATATAGTGAAGTGAGTCCCTTGACACTCATTGTGTCAACACGCACGCTGAGTGATGTAATGACCGTCCAGCGGGATGACCCATTCCCGTTCAACAACCCTATATCCTTCGCTACGAAATTGGCGTTCGATAAGCCTAGTCAGACCCCACATCGACCGCCTACAGTCCGGCGAGCTTGAACCACGGAGGATGCCACACCCGTCGACACGAGACACGAGAGACTCTGCGCGGAGTCGGGCAGATAAGCGACCTAGGAGCTTAGACCGCCCTGGATCTATGTATGACCTCGCGGACGATCCAGGCTGTCTCCGCCAGCAGACCAGCGACGCACATCACACTGCCGTTGTCGATAACTAGCGAGTCGGCCACGACCTAGACGACCGGTCAATTACTTCCGCGGCCTGGAGACTACACTCTGCCATAGGGTCTTGGCCGCGGCGAACAAACAACCTTCGCAGAGCATCTGAAATCGCATCAGCCTCGTGGCACGCAAATGAGTGTACCTCGATATATTATGGTACGCACCGTGAAGAACATGTCGAAGGAGGTAAGGTAAGTTCGACCATCGGGATGTCCCATTGCCAATGGATGGAGTACATTCTTCGCCGCGAGGTTGCCAGAACAGCTCTAACACAACGGGTCGCGAAGCTGCAAGCCCGATGCACTTTCCACGCCGACCGTTTAGAATCCAGAGAGTTCGAATCATGCCCCGTGCGACGCCAGCGAGAGCCAGGTCTTCTGATAACTTGAACTGGGAAAGAGCGGGCCGTTCACGAATGACGCGTGAGTCCCGGTGGATGTTGTATGATGGGCTGTAGATGAGGACGCACCCGCTACCATCCCAGTCCCGACCTGCCATGTGAGCCCACGGACGATACAGGCGGTTATCCTTCAGAAGAACCTGTAATCGCACTCAGCAGGCGAGGCACGACGGGCTGGTCAATCATGCACGCTGGCCCAGCAAACTCGAGAGTCGAGTACCGTCAAAATCGTAGAGTGCCCACAATACGGGCGATGTCGACAAACAGCGACCCGATGACGTCCGTAGCACGCCAATGGTTGCTTCCATCATTTGGGCGTACTCGACCCCAAAGTGCTGCGGCACAAGGGGCCCGAACCCGGCCACGAAGAGCCAAGCTCCGGCTCCGGAGTCTGTAGGTCTCGCGGTACACCACCCACCCCCGTGGTGCCCTGCCTCGAGACGAGAGTAGCAGCACGTACGCCATCGGCGAGGACGAGGGTGCTGGAACGAGTGGGAGACGGGTAGATCTGTGATGCGAGCAGTAGGTACTGCATATACAACTGAGTTCACGTTTGGCGCGAGCGAGGACCTGCGGCGTGGAGGGAGAAGAGGAAGTGCCTCACGGGTATTCGGAGAGTTCGTGGAGCTAGATGTGTACCTGCTACAAGCGCGACAGAGGTCCTTTGCCGAGTTACAACCCCGCGTATGAGAAGTACGCGGGGCGGAATTGCCTAACATCATGCACGTACTATGTGTAAGCGATGAAAGCAAACAGTATGGATCGTGAAAGTACCTGGGAAGCCCTCGAGTTCCTTTCTATCTACAACGTACTTGACGGCCACCTTGATCTCTTCGAGGTCGTCCAGGATATCGAGCTTGGTCAGGTTAAGGCTGTCGTACCCGTTGATCAAGTAGGAATGCTTCATGACGACTAGATCGAGCCATCCACAACGCCGCCGACGGCCGGTCGTCACGCCAAACTCGCGACCGACTTCTTGCAGGTGGACGTCGATATCCTAGATGCACCGTACGTAAGCTCAACATGGACATGATCGAAACGAGACGCACGTTCAGCTGCTCGGTCGGGAACAGCCCTCCTCTGACGCGAGTCGTGTATGCCTTCATGACGCCGATGACGGTGCCCATCTTCTTGGGCGGAATGCCGAGGCCAGTGCACACGCCACCGACGGCGGTCGCAGAAGACGTTACGTACGGGTAGGTACCTAAGTCGAGGTCGCGCATTGGCCCCTTGGACGAGGACTCTCTTCCCTTCAGCAAGCGCACAGTGGATGTAGGTCACGCCGTCGATAACGTACGGCCGCAACCGCTCGGCGAGGGCCTTCAACGTAATGTGGATGAGCGCGAGTCATGACGACGAAAGCTGGCAGACAGCGCACCTTATAGCGAACGATCGCGCCCTCCGTGTCGTACATGAAGTGCCCATAGCGCTTGAATCGGCCTCCAACGACCTTGCGGAACTTGATGGCGAAGTTTCGTGGTCGAAGAGGTGGTGCACACGCAGACCGGAACGCGATGCCTTGCCGGAATAGGCCGGACCGATGCCCTCTTAGTGATTCCGATGCTAGCAAGCAGTCAGAAGCTCTCGTCTGTGAACTCAACGAATCGGGCGCGTGCTCACCTCATGCCTCCCAGTTCGACCTCCTTCAACTCGTTAACGATCTTGTGAAAGTCGAAGACGAGGTGTGCGCGATCGGAGACAATGACCGTCCAGTGCAATCCAATCCTATGCATCACCACTGAACATAGTGCATCGGACAGGCAGGACGACGATGCACACCTTGAGCCGTAGCGCATCGAGCTCCTCGAAGAATGACGGCAGATGCACGACGACTCCGAACCCAATCACACCCGTGCAATTTGGATTGACCAGCCCTTCCGGTGGTTGTTCTACGTGGGCTGTATCCAAGGAAGAAAGAGACGCACCGCTTGACAGGAGATGGAAAGCAAAGTGCGTGGATGCCTTCTCCGCGCCCATGGGCACGAAGATGGTATGACCGGCGTTGTTCCCTCCTGCGCAACGGGCGCAGATATCGGCGTCGGCGGCGAGGATGTCAACGAGCTTGCCCTTCCCCTCGTCGCCCCATTGCGCTCCGAGAACGACGCTTACTGAAGATGCTATGAGAGATGGCTGGAATGGAAGGGTGCTGCTCATCGCGGCGAGTCAGCGTGTCCTCAGGGCGTATCGCACGTAGGGCGAAGAGATAGGTGGGAATAGAGAATAAGTATGCGTTCGACGGAGGATGCAATGAGTTAAAGCTTGAGATTGGCGGCGTTCGTCCGGCCGACCCGCCTTCCTTATCGGGACGCCATGATCGAAACCATCTCGCGTCAGCACCTCCCGTCATCAGCCACCTCCCTGTCCCTACCTCTCTCTCGCCGTCTCCACTACATACCAGCATGAGCTCGCACGACGCACGATCCGGCGTGACAGGAATACCTGAAGAACGGCCACAGACAGTCGCCGAGAGGCGACGAGGCGGGGAGGAAAGGCGAGATGAATGAAAAGGCGAGGAGATTGTCTCGACGGGACATGTACAGAGGTACGCAATAATAACTGTCTCATTACTTTCTACGCCAGGTGACACGTACGACGAACAATAGAATTGTGGTCCCCCGCTGCTGGCCCGTTCTCGCCACCTTGCCCTTTGTCCTGTCGCTCACGCTACCGCCCTCTCGCCGTCAAATCAACGTTTGGGGGCATGATGCACAGGCCCGCCGGCAAGTACCGCCCCTTAATTTCCCTGCTTCCTCGGTTGTGGTTTAGATCTTTGGACGGCTCATTAGACTCCAGGTAATCACAATTATATCCCCATATGTGCAATCGACGCATCTGACGTCTGAGAACCCTCGCCACGCAGAGGTGGTCAGGTATATCGTGCCCTGAACGTGCGCTGGTCGGCTGCCAGTACCACTCTGTACGTGTTAGCCAGGGTGTTTAACGTTCCCCTTAAGATAATCCTGCCTTCGTCTTCGAACAGCACGTTCTTTCAAGCTGACGGCGCTTCTCCAGCACGCTTCCTCCGACAGTTGTCTGCAACCGACGAGTGCCTGTCAGCCTACCCGAACGAATTCATGGTATCGATACCCATTCAATACATCGTCTCGTCGAAGCCAGCCTCCCCAAGCAGCTCGCCAAGCTCGACTGGAGGGTCCAGTTCGAGGAAATGGACCAGCTTAGCTGTCCTTTCATCCGCAAGACGAGGAACCCGGGCCTCGCCTCTCGTATTTGCGAAGCTGTCGCGAAGGGTCACACGAAGCAGGTAGCTATCTTTACCCTCGACGGCGATCACATCCCTAGGTAGGTGGATTTCGAAGCAGATCACGTATTCCAGCTGAGCTGTTTTTGTATCCAGGTCATGCGCACTCTCGAGAACGCTGGGTCAGTAGCATTCCTATTTGCTGTTTGCATATATGCCGACTTCACATCGCTGCGAAGCCTGATCTGAGATGAACAATCCTTTACGAAATTCAATTGACTGCATAAACGGCACATTCCCCGCGCGATGTTGCGTACCGACAAACGGCGGAGTCTACACTCGGCTCCAATGTTTCCAAGTCCAGCTGGGTGCGCGCCCGCTCGTCCAGACGCATCGCTTCGTCTGCATTCGCCTGTGTGACGTTGACGCGGGCTGGAAACACACGTTCTCTGTGCACGAGGTCAACCAGTGGTGCATTGGGAGGGTCCTCGAGATGGCGCTCGACTGTCTCAACCCCAAGAGACGTGTCCCTGCATCTGGGCTTTGATGTAAACACGCCCAAGCCGACGGTCGCACCCAGCATGGGGAGGCTGGTGAGTGATAGGCTGGCCTGCGATGACGAGTGGAATTGAAGGTGCTGTACAGATGCGTGGTGGGCTGACGTTCAGCGAGGGCACTGTATCTACGAGCCAGCCTACGAGACTCATTGTCTCGTCACACTGTACATTTTCGTGAGGTGCCGCGAAGACGAGGTCCTACAGATCCGAACTGACCGGTGGACCCGTCCTTCGGGACGACCGAAGAAGTAATGAAGCAACCGATTGCTGTCGGTTGCTTACTCGCTCAATCCGATCTGTGCTAGGTGAGTCCCGCTGCATGTCTATTCTAATCCGGACTTACACACTATCAAACGGGGAGGATGCAGATGCATGTCCGAAGTGCTGAGTCCGAATCAAGCAATCTATAGTCAACAACTATCCGGCGCAGTACGAGCCTTTCGACTTCTTCGCTGCGCGTCGCGTTCTGCTTAGCGTTCGCGTAAGGTGGCCGTGCGACCATCGCGATTGTGCGACCATGCCGGTACGGACATGGCCGGCAGAAATATGCATGTGTATAGAACCCTCCAACAACAGGGGCAAAAGCACGCAATCAGGTGTCGTAAAGGTAAGCGGTGTTGTACAAGACCTAGTGGGGGATGCTCAGACAGACCATAGAATGAACGGTGCGTCAATGGGACGTAAGAATCTTTGGAAAATGGCTGCGCTAATCTGGTTCTCCGTGAAAAGAATCCGGGGCGATATCAGAGGCAAATCGCGTCTCGATTTTCTGGCGGCAGCGGCGGACTTGGGTCTCGAAAGATGCCGGCATGTCAATTGCCGAAGAGCCTCCCTGCTGTCGAACTCGAGGCTGCGTACATGCTCTGCGCCGCCTTCCAATTTGATTCTGGAGATGAGAGATGTGTTGTAAGTGTGTGTTCGCTGCTAAGGCTCAGTACGAAATAGCACTGACAATACCAGTGAGGCTGCAGCAACAACTTCGGACGGTATTAGCGGACACATGTGATGGAGTGGTGCGAGATTGATGCGCCTTCAAGGGAGCAGTGAGGTCAGTATAACTGTTGAGCCCCTCGGAGTTGACTTGCCTCGAGGCATGCATGCCACCCTAGGCGAGCATGTGGTGGTCACAACCACAGTGGTCAGCCGAGAAGAACCTATGCTTTTTACATCATATATGACAGATCCTGTGCCATTCCTCTCATGACCTAAAGATAAGGCTAGCGAACTACACTGACAGCTTTGGAATTATTTGGCAGTCCGAGTCGATCCAGCGCGTGCATGATCTACATGGGGTAAACTTGTAAGTATAATTGTATTACTCGTCCTGATCTTACTGACAATCTCATTTGCGTATGACTCGGATTCAGGGGTCCGCAATGTTCCTTCCAGCGGGCGATTGCGCCTGCTAAGCCAATGGTTGGCGTTCTCACGTCACAGTGGTGTCGTCCCTTGGGCCGGAAACATCTGGCCGAGACGACGAAAGCCGGCCCCTCTAACCTTCCGTGTAGCATGTGTCGGCAATCACACTCACCATTTTCTAGGCATGGCGAACAACTGCGGCCATTCAATGTATTGCGGCTCTGCACGGTGTGCATCACAGGCGATTGCCTTTGTAAGTGGTTCCTGTGGTGCAGAAGCTCTCGGCTGCCGCCGTGACGGTAGTCCAAGTTTGCCTATTCGTACAGATATTCAAATGTCTCTTCGCATGCCGCGCCCAAAACGACGGCTATAGCCGGTGAGTATTGTCCCTCGAAGCCTTCCTTCGATAGTTTACTGCCGTACCCTTACATGTAAGGATCCACGGATGCGAATTACGGCGCAGAAGAGCAAAGAGATTCAGCCTCGTGGCTGCCTCACGCAGCTCTAGAAGATGCACTTACGACACTCCACCGTAACCTGTCGAGTACAAGATGTCCGCCGGAAATGACGATTTCGCAGAACGAGAAAGCGACGACTCGACACCCATCAACATACAGTTCTAGTCACCGTGATCAGATGCCGAAAGTCCTGGCGTTGAGCTCTACACCTTCGCCTCGCCATCATCCGTATTCTCGGAGCGTGCGCCGTGCGTGGAGACGCAGGGTAAGTCATTGCTCGGGTTGTGATGTCTTCGAGTCGTTCAATGTTAATGCATTGCATGGTAGATGCGACTGCGCGAGGCGTTGTCCCTATACCCATCGTGGTTAGTTGAAATTCTGCACATACTCAGCGGTGAGTATTCATGATTGAAAACATAAGCTACTGTACTCATATGATTGTATTTGTCGAAGGTCCAGACAACTGGCCTGAGACGTAGGACTCGAGTCTCGCACTATCGCCTCCGCTTTGGCACGGGCTCTGTGATCTGTGCCCGAAAGAGGGGGTTCTCGAGTTTGTATCCGTCTCTATAGCTTTCTGTTTTCTCTTGCTGTCGTCGCTTTTCCATTACTCGTGCTATGGATAATCGAGTTGAACCATTGTCCCAGTGGAGACTCAGGTGTCCATTCCCTAGTATTCCATTCTGCCCTGCTGGTGATTATACTTTTGCTCCCGATGAAGAATAGTCGAGCTATGTGGAGTCGAAAAATATGTGTACTTGTGTGAATAAGATGTATATTGACTTCAGGTCCACGATCGAGCACGATCATGCGGAGCGTTCAGTATAAGCGGCCATGGCTCGGGCATTCTGAGAAAGGCAATAGTAGGCACGTGTGACGAGTCGTTCGCGTTTGCCTGCCGCGGCCTCCTCAAAGCTCAATCGTCGTCTGCTCTCGTTGTGGCCATTTTGTTCTCGACTTGACGACAATAACAAACAACTCGGAGCAGCAGAGGACTATACGATGGATTGATGCGTGGGCCGCCTGGCTTCCGACCGTATTCACTAACAGTTCTCAATCGCACCAGCAGCTCACGAACGCATCCCCGACCGCACCCGTCTCTTCATCGAGATTCTACGGATCCGAAAGGCCTGGATCATCTCGAACGGGCAATATAGCACCAACAAAATTGCCATATCGTGAGCCAGAGGTCGTACTAGCCCTCCGAGACAACTGAACTTACTCCTTCCTTGTGTTCAGTATTTAAGGATTTGTGCGAAGCTATCGACCTGTTCAAGTTCGCCAACTAGAGCGATGAAAATATGATAGACAACAACAGAATCAAAGGCAAGCGGCATCGCGTCGGCGGGAGACCAGCGTTCATTCGTCGTCTGGTTTCGCTTTTGTATTTTGTTGTGTTCGAATAAGTATGCGCTTTCGTAGTCAATCTGTCTACGGGTTCCCATCCAAAAGAGTCGACTCAATGTACGATACGGCCCCCCCTTTGTTCTAATGTCGTCAATGTACTTCTAACTTGCAATAGAACATCACGCTCGACCCTTTGGCCTCCGCCGTCCCGCCGTCCCTCCACCGCGCGCTCTTTGTTGATGGACTTGGACTGTACGTTGATCACGCGGTGTCTATCATGAAACACGCACCTGCATTTTCATTGCTCAGGCTGTTACTAAACGCCGACTCTGACTCGGCATGCGCGCATGCTACAGAGTTTGAGTTCCGCCGGCGAGGCCCGCAACAGCATGTCGTACTACGCATTGTCACGAGCATGGAGAGGGGTAGGGCCTGTGGTACGTAACTGCACGGAGAGTCGCCGGTGTCAGTCAGAGCAAGTGAGACGGAGATAGCATCCGACGCACCCCGCAAGAAGCCGCGGAACCTGTCAGAATGCAACGGGGGCGGCAGAAGACGACCTCGCTCTCGTCCGCGAGCTCCCGGGGGATGTTGTGTGTGGCTTCTGTCACTGAATGGGCGTGGGCGCGCTGTGGGACGGGAGACGCCGTCAGCAGGAATAGAGTTTTGCAAATAGCAGACGTTAGACGGCGCCGACTTCCAGACGCGAGCACGGTCGTCTGGCAGGTGATAGAGGCAGATCCCCGTAACGAGCGAGCCGCGCACGGACCGCAGAGCGTGGACGCACAAATGCCGGCCTGGCGAGGAGTGCCGAGTTGCGCGGTTCCTCATGAGGAGGCTGACTTGGGTGGGCTGGAGGGAGGAGACGATCTGTGCTGGATTAGGCAAGAAGGGGCACGAGCGCAGTGGGCCGAGCGTTGGAGAAGGGGGATGCGCACGCGATGACATTGCGATGACATATATGCGCGGGCGATGGCAGACAGCCACATGTGATCTGGACACTTGAAGATGCGCAGACCGAGTGCGCTGTCGGTGGCGAGACACGCTCCGCGGATGGCAAGGAAGGCGCAGACGAAGAGAACGTTCCGGCAGCCTCGGAGACGCATCGACGCTGGACTTAGCCGGCTGCAACGCTAATCGTTGCGCCTGGACACGGCGAGGACGACGTTCGCAGCTTCCGCGTCTGGTTCGCAGCGCCAAACTCGGGCTCCGGGGTCCGTACATCTCGCGGTACGCTGGCATCGACGAGGGCGACGAGCGGGAGAGGGGTATCTGAGGGCGCGATCTGTAGGTTGTGCGGTACGTACACATTTGCAGTCGGCGCCAGCGAGGACCAGCGCGATGGAGATGGCCCTGCCTCGGGCACAGGGAAGGTTCGCGAACGTACCCAACCTGCTCCGGCGCTGGAGGAATGCCTCAGCGAGGGGCGAGCTCCGAGGGCAGGCGACGCACGAATATGACAGTAGGCAGATGGTACATAGGCGTATCCACGGCCTGCTGACAGTCACGTTTGAATTGGTTGTTCCGCGCACTTGCATTTCCCGGGAGCGTTTTCTGCTTCGGCACGTCTGGCAGACAGTTTGATTATAGGTCAACGCACAACATCATCACGAGCATGGAGAGAGGTAGGACGACCATCCATACTGAGCAACCCACGCACCCACAAGAAGTGGCGGAAGAGGCGACGGGATCAAACGAACTCAAAAGCAAGTCCGCGAGCCCCCGGAGGGAGCGGGAAGGAGGCCAGAAGGGGTGTTGTCTGTGCCACGGCCGGGCGTCCGCCGCTGTCAGCCGGAACAGAGTTATGCAAATAGACGTCGCCCGCGCTGAACAAGTGAGCCGGCAGAAAATGGACGCATGCAGGGACGCCTGAAGTGGATTGGGCGCCTGACATAATACGCGGCTGGAATGGGTCGTCAATGAATTACGGAATGTCTGGACGCATGTGGGCCAGCGACGGACACGGTCTGTGGGACGAAGAGAACGTCGGCGCCGGGGACAGGGAAGGAGCACTGCATGACAGACCCGCCCAGGCCGCCGATGCGGGTGGCGTCGAGGCCCGTCCACGTCTCCCATTGGCCGGCTCTCGCGATTGGCCGGTGCCCGGGACCTCCGCCACCGTCGCTCACCGTCCGCACGGCGCAGAGGACACGGCCGCGAGGTTGGACGGCGACCAGTGACGATCGTCTGCGCGGCCCAGAGACGACGCGATCACAGAGGCCTCGATCGCGGGTGCCGGATATGGCAGGCAGCCTTCCATACGGGGCTGAGGAGATCGAGGTCGGGCGCGGCTGGGCTTGCCTGCGGACACGCTGATTGGCTGGTTGGAGTGTGGGATGCGGGGGAGCCTCGACCGGGGCGGCGCTGCGAAGGCTGGACGCGGGCGATTGGCTGCCTAGGCACGTCCCCTCCTCAAAAGACATGCCGCCTCAGATCGCCCGTCCACTCCCCCCGTCGTCCAGCCTGCCATGCTCGCCTGTATCCCGCTCCCCTACCCCCGCGCGTCGTCCTCCAAGCTCCCCCCGACGCCGACGCCCCCGCCCGCACCCTTCGCGCCGTCCCACAAGCGCCCCCGCGGCCTCTGGAAGGGTCGCCGCGACTCGCCCGATACGGCCGCCGCCTCCCACGCACCCCGCTCGGCCCAGTCTTCTCCCCGCCCTTCCTCCTCCTCCACCACCCTCGCAGACGACGACGACACCGCCTACGACGACGACGACCGCTACTCCGCCTCCTCCGCCTCCTCCAAGCGTCGCCGCTGTTCCGGCGCATTCGACGCCTCGACCGACTCTCGCCCGCCTTCCCCCCGTCCCCGGCCCGCTTCCGTCCCGCCCCTATTAGCCGACCTCCCGTACCATGCCACCCATCCCCGCCTCCCAACCCTCTCCCGCCTAGCCGTCGTCCGCTCCATGCCCGATCCCCTCTCTTCCGCCCACCGCAAGGGCAAGCAGCCCTCCACCGCCGACTACGAGGACTGGGAGAATCTCAAGGAGCTGTATGCCCGCGCCATAGATCGTTACGATGGTGAGCCGCCTCTTCCCGCCATCCGCGATTTCCCCGATCGCGTGGTGCTCATCCTTGCCTTCTCCAGCCGACGACGTCCCACAAGCCCTCGCCCTCCTCCGCGCCGTCACCCGCGAATGCCACCGCTTTCTCACTGTCCACCCAGATCCCTCCGTCGTCTACGCCGATCCAAGCCCTCCGCCGCGATCGTCACCGGGCACAGTAACCCCCACCGACGTCTGGGCCCACGACGTGTCCGCTGCGCTACAGTGCCACCCAAGGTGCGTCCATTGTCTTCTCGCATTTACTTCTACTCACCTCGTACAGACCCACCGAACGGCCCGCCGCCTTTCACGCGCTCTTCGGCAGCGCACTGTTCCACTTTGGCAACCTCGTCGCCCAAGACGCGTCGGTTCCCCTGCCCGACGAGCCTAAACTCGCATCCGATTACTGGCTCGCCGCTCTCGACGTCTTCCAGACGGGCGAAAACCTCCCCGCGCTCACCGGCGCCCCCTCCCACTCGTCTGGCTTCGCTGATCTCACCGAAGATTGGCGGATGGCCGTCATCTGGGGACGTACACTCGTCTGCCTCGCCGATGAGAAGCTGACGCACTCGCTGCGTCTCGCAAAGGAGCGCGCGACGGGCGACTTCTGCGTCCTGCCCTCCGCCTCTCCGTTCGACCTCTCAGAGCCGAAATGGCCCAAGGACTCCCCGTTCGCGTCCATCGCCGCCTGCCGCCCGCCCGTCTCGCGCCGCGTCACGCTCTACAGCGCGACCGCGCACGACGTGATGGTCCTCGCGATGGACCAGTTCAGCCGGGGCATCTTCCACATGCCGCACGCCACCTCCCTCCCCTCGCACAACACCGCGAGCCACGTCCACCCGCCCGCGTCGCCGACCTCGCGCGGCAGCACTCCCCGCCGCAGCCGGCGAACACGCACGACGCGCACGGCCACTTTTCGCGCCCGCGCGAGCTGTTCACGATCGCGAGCGAGGTGCTCGGCGTCGCGGAGCGGCTGCCGGACAGCGCGCAGCGCGCGTACTGGGCGAGCTGGGCGGACAGCGTGTTCACGCAGATGCGGATGGAGGCCGCGCACGACGCGTGGCGCGCGCCGCTGACCGCCGCGCGCGGGCGGTGCTGGCTGATCATGGGCTCCGCGCACTCGGAGGAGCTCGAGGCCGCGCTGGAGGCGGGGCGCCGGACGTGCTCGACGGCGCGGAGGCGAGTGAGGCGCGCGAGGGCCTCGCGATGGCGGTGGCCTTCTTTGAGCGCGCGAAGGGGGGTGCGCCTGGTGCGGAGGGCGAGCAGGGAGAGGAGGCGGAGGACGTGCGGCCGTTGTTGGCGGAGGCGCTGTTCACGCTGGCGAACCTGACGCCGGACGAGAATAAGCGCGAGGAGCTGTATTCGAGGGCGCAGGCGGAGGCCGGCGACGAGTTCATGGTCGATGGGGATGCAGACGGAGACACGGACCCGAACGCTATGGAGTTGTGCTGAGCGGCTGTGCTCGACGCTGCGTACTCCCGAAAGCCTCTACGACTCGCGGCGGCATCGTCCTGCTACCACTGTCACCATCGCCGCCTCCACTCCGACATGCAAAATCTATCTCCTTGCTTGGGTTCACGGGTCTCATCTTATCTACGTTATGTTTATTTTTCTCTGGGCCTTTCGTGGCGTATCTCGGGCACACAGCGCATCGTACTAACCCAATTCTCGGCTCTGCTCTGTCGTCGCACCGCTCTCCCTTGCTCCGCACGCACATACCACCCGCCTCGTTCTGCATGGCCGTCTCCTCTGTACACTACTACCAGACCCGACGCACACGAACGTGCGCGCGAGCCGGGCTCGTCCTTGCGCAGACCGCCCTCCGCATCCTCCCCTTGCATTGCACATCTTTCGTCGCTCATCATGCACCCCGCATAGCATACACCGACCGCATCTACTTGCTAGTTCTAGACCACGCACTGTATCGATAGCCATCAGGCCGTAATGACAGGTAATTGCCAAATCGTGCGCAGTTGGGTCGCGGAGGCGTCTCGTTCGGTCGGGATCGCGTCGCGGTCTCGGAGGGGGTCTCGAGCGCGGAGCTCGAGCGGGATGGAAGGGCGGGGCCGGCTGCCTGGCGGGAGGGGAGCATCTCGGAGGGCAGCTGATTGTTGTGATTGGTCGTGGTGAGGGTTGTCCGGTGAGTGTGTCGTTCAAGTCTAAAACTTATCATGACGGTGTTCCCCTGTGCGGAAGTCCTACGGTCTAACTTGGTTTGCTCGTTACTCACCGTTAGCACAGCAGTACTAGTACAATCTGGCAAGCGACTTGCGGCGCGCCGTATACTACGAAGAACTCTAAGCGGTACGTTCGCCGGCAAGTGTATGTTATTGACTGGACCCGACAGGAGGGCGTAGATTCCGGTCAATATCAAACAGGCTCAAGTCTCCTAGGGAAGCACGACGCTTAGGTGATGCTGCTGACTGTGGAATGTCTGCGGTCGGACGAACGTGTCGCGCCGTTCGTAATTCCATGAGTAATGAACGGACTGAACGGCTTATCTGCGTTAACGTTCTGCGCCAATGTGGACCGGGTGCTTCGAGTCTTCGGTTCTGGTCCAGGGCCTGAGCACGATGTCAGAAGTGTGGGATGCGGAAGGCCGGACGGCCATGTGGACCTTTGGGCGGACTCGAAGACGGAGCGTACGGAGCAAGCATCTGCAGGAATTGGGTCCGGCCCTGGGCAGCTGCTATCTCTGACCAACACTGACCACCTCGACACAAGGACGAGACATGGCGAACCATTCGATCCCTAACAAGCCGTCTACGATCTCTGCTCGGCCGTACGATTGGCCACATGACGGAGCCTTGTCACCGGCTACGACTGCCCTTGTGGTCATAGACATGCAGAATGACTGCAAGTCCCTTCCTTGTTTTGCTTCCGTTCGCCAGCGAGACGGCGAGCGATCATCGTGATCAGCACGGACGCTCACTGAAGCCCACCGTTTGCTCTTCCAGTCTGCTCGGAGAAGGGGTACATCGCTCATCTGGGGTACCCCGTCGACGGCACGCGCGCCGCCATCCCCAACATCGCGAAGCTCTTGGAGGCGTTCCGGAAGCACGGCTACCCCGTCTACCACACCCGCGAAGGCCACCGCCGCGACCTGTCCACGCTCTCCGCGCGCGAGCACTTCCGCTCGCGCAACAACGCCTCCGGGCTGGGCATCGGGACCAAGGCCCCTCGGCCGGCTGCTCATCCGGGCGAGCCGGGCACGACATCATCCCGGAGCTCTACCCCCTCCCCGCCGAGCCCGTCGTCGACAAGCCGGGCCGCTCCGCGTTCGCGTACACGGATTTCGAGCTCCTGCTGAAGTTAGGGGGTCACGAAGCTCGTCATCTGGGGGTGACGACGGACGTGTGCGTGCACTCGACGATGCGGGAGGGGACGACCGTGCGTATGAGTGTGTGTTGGTTGAGGACGCGACGGGGTCGGTGGACGAGGGGCTGAAGAGGGCTGCGGTGGACATGGTGCAGATCGAGGGAGGCATCTTCGGCGCGGTGGCGAGCACGGGTGACGTGCTTGTTGGTTTGGAGAACGCACAGCGGTGATGGTGACGTTGTATCAGTCGCATATGTTGCCGAGTGCGCGTGTGACGAAGGTGTGTTCGACGTAAAGTCTAGGACGACTTGTGTAGTTGACCACATGCGGTGCGATGTATCACGCAGCTATGACCAAACAACTTCGTATTTCGGAGATAACTGTACAGTGTTGGAGCATTAGCAGCCATGCCTCGCATGACGACGCAAGAACATCGCAGAATAAGTATCCTCCCTACTTATACAATCCGTGAGGTAGTACATCTACGTCCATGACTGGTTGTCGAGACGCAGCGAGAGCCGTTCACCGTACTCGAGCTATGACTCCGTATCAATCTACCATGCATACCGAATCAGTCCCGGAGGTACCACGCAGAGAGGGGTTGAGCATGTTTACCAAGGCTACAGGCATGGTCTTCTTCTCGTGGTCTTTCATCGCATCCGGCAAGCGATCTCCCGGACCATCGCCCGCGCCCGCTTCCAGTGTCGTGATGTTTCCTGAGCTTTCGGTGTCTCTTGCGGCTGGGAAGGCGAAGCTTATGGGCCTGGTCGCCACGCTTCCCGCGTCGGGCGATTCGAGGAATGCACGGCTGACCAGGTTGGCCAGGAACGTGTTTGCGTACCTGCCATCCATTTAGACGTCGTGAAGGCGAGCGGGAAAGCGAACGACTCACAGCTTTGTGAGGACATAGATGCTGGACGTAGCGGTTAGTGTAGAGGTTTTCGGGTAGAATATTGACTGACGTTGTCTCATAGTATTGTGTTCCCTGTATTAACGTCGAAAGAATGGAACGCTCGTTGTGGAAACACGGAGCGAAAGACATACCGGCAGTCGTAGGCACAGAACCAGCGTTACAATAGCCACTCCAGCTTTGTGCGATTCAGTACACTCGTCCGATCCGCACGTCAAATGCACGTACCCGTGAGTGTGCCTGTTTCTACCACTAATCGTATGACCTTGTTGATCATTCTCTCTGTATGCTTATACGTAGTGCCGCGACGCAGTCTCAACATCTGGATATACGGCCCAGCCAGAGTCAGCACACTTACGAACAGCCGCAGTCGTGGAATACGTTCACCAGTATTGTCATTGTCACGGCAATCAGTGCGTCGACCACCGCGCTACCGACGACCCATAACTGCAGTATATCAGTATACAAGAACGACACCTGAACGGTTTGTACCCACGTTCAACACGATGACGACTTGATGAGATGCCGTCACGTCCGCCGTCGAAGGTGTGTCTTTGAGCTACGAGTCTGTCAGGACATGGAAAATGGGACAAGATGGATGCTTGTACCAAGACTCCTAGAGATATGCCGGCGCATGCTTGTAGCAGAGAAAGCTAGGGGAGATTTGAGGAGGCCCAGCGGAGCAGGAGCATGCGACATACCAGGGCTATGACCCCTGCGACAATGCGAGATCTAGCGAGTACGTAGATCCGCCACGCGAAGAACAGCTGCACGGTGACAGACACGATCGCACACATGACCGCGACGAAGAACCACGCGTAGTAGATCTTCGTCAAGCTGTTCGTGTCTCCGTAGTTGTAGACGAATATCTCGAATGCTACGCCGGTTACGAGCCCAGTTTGGACCAATTCGAATGCGAGCATGCCGTACACTTGCATGGAGATGAGCCGGCCATTGAGATACCAGACGATCTGGTGAATAGTACTCACCCAGGCATTGGAGAACGAGCGGATCGTGGGGGAAATTTACATGGTAGAGATCTGGTAGAAGCCGTGAACATGATGGATGCGGCGCTGGTCATTGGAGTGAGCAAAGACCTTACAGGTTTGAATCGTTAGTACGCCAAGTAGGGCCCAGTTAAAGAAGTATCCGAGCAGCTGAAACGAGCTTCATATAACGACGAGCGTGTGTATAGACGATAGGTCGGTACCTTAGGCCCTGCCCTGTAAAACAGCGTGGACTGTTAGCAAGCCCAGGCGTCATAACGGGTCGGCGGTGAGACCTACAAAATGACGACCTTCTCCTGGTTGAGGGCCATTTCACCTGCCTGCTTGAGCGTCACAGAGGACAGGGCAAGTGAGTCGCTCGCTAGTTACGATTGTGGAGAGCCCCTGATGATAGTTCCTGCAACGTAGTTATCATAGGAGGACAGAAGGGGACATGATTCCAACGACCAGCGTTGGAATAAAATGCACTCCGCGGAGGTTCCCGGCAGTGATGCTGGGGTACTACATTGCTAGAACCACGAACTGTAAATAGTCATTAATGGCTCCGGAAACGCCAACTTGCTAACCCCGGTACACCGTGAGAACCGCTGAGAACCGCCTCTCTGCACGGTGTTAACGCTGTGAGATCCTGAGAGCCCGTCTACCTGCCACCAGCATCTACTTGCTACCGGCAGTACTGGCATAGCTGCAACCGGTCCAGGCTAGAGGTACGACGCACCGATGCCCATGATGGATCCGCCCGTTCTTCCCCTGATCAGACGCTATTTGTACGCATTGACAGCCCGCGGCCACAGTAAGCAGCCTGATGCAAAGGCATCCATGGTCGCCCTCTACTACTCAAAAGAGCTTAATGCGTGCACGGTGAAGCCATCATGGGTATTGTCCTGCGCACCTGGGGTTCAAATCGCCTGATTGAGTTTGGGTCGATTGGGCAGACGCCACAAAGCAGAAGCCCACGGCATCTTGAGGAGCATCCACTCGGAGGTGATGGACCTGCTACATATATCAAGCACTGATTAAGACGATGACTGGAACACATGTCAGCCGGAGTGGCTATGCAGTTGTACGCATCCCATTCGGATGACCTACTTATCAGTATTTGGTCACCCATTACTTGTGCAAATGGATACTATCCGACGTTTGTGACGTTGTCTCAGTCGGGGTATGACATGGACTGATAGCAATGATCAACCTGTACGTGCATACCTTGGAATGCACATTCATCCGCTGCCAGCTACTCATTACAAAGAGCGCAAATGAACGTCAAACGGAGCATGAGCCCATTCCGTGGTTGGATACACGCAGTGACACATCCAAGACGCCCGAGTCTCCCCGTGGACAGCGGACCTTGCATGCGAAGGCAAGGCGTTGAGCAAGCCCATAGGTGATACAGTATATCGTCCTTCGCTCTGCCGGCATCCCAGTCGCTCAAGGCGAAACGCAGGCTAGCTTAGGAGTCATCGTACCATAGCTAGGTGCAGACTGCAGCGAACCTCGCGCCGACGGCGGCCGATGTTCCCATGCACAGGTAGGACAAGGCTGCGCCCAGCCTGCCTACCCTGCGCGCGTCACCCCACGTGTCGTACGGGGATCTCGAAGCAAACCGCCTTGATTATTCAAGATACCACATTCTGTCGAGTCGGACGTAAGACCATCAGCCTCCCCAACAAACACATACTCACCTCATGATGTTCCCCGTCCAGTAGAGTTCCCTTCTCGCTCCCCGTCTCCTCCCGCACAGTACTCCCAGGCGTTCTCAGTCCGGTCACCGTGCTATTTTGCACCTCGCCATTGGTCCACACCGGTACGCCGCTCACGTACGTGCTCAGCGCGATCGTCGTGACTCTGCCTGGCCCCGCGCCCGACTCGGTGTCGTCCGTTTCGTCCGTCTCTTCTGTGGTTCCGCTGCGGCCGCGGCCTCGGCGGCGCGCGGGGTCGAAGAAGGCGCGGGAGATGAGATTGGCGAGGAAGGTGTTGGCGTAGAGTTTGGTGAGGACGTAGATCCTGCGTGTGCCACGAGAAGAGACGGTGTTTCAGTGCGGGAAGAATGTTCGGAAAAGTCAGAATGGTACGTACGTCGTCTCGTAGTACTGTGTCCCGGGGAGCCTCAGGCATAACACCAGTGTCGTAACGGCGATGCTCGCTGCGAAAAGCCACGACTGTCATATGCACGCGCAGAGCGAGGGTGATCGCGGACGTTCGTACCTGTCAACGACCCGGTCTCGACGACCATCCGGATGACCTTATTGATCATCCGTTCAGTCTGGTGATGTGACGTCCGGCGACGCAGCCCGAGCATCTATCCCTGTACGCTCGGCGGGCGAGCGAAAGAGGCTGGATTGATGCCACGCACCAGTGTGGTCATGGTGACCGCGATGAGCACGTCTACCACGGCGCTACCGATGACCCATACTTCAGCAGCAGGTGTTAGCAAGCTGTTCGGTGGGAGGGCGGATGAATTTCAGTCTCGAGGAAGAGTGCTTACGTTCAGAACAATTACAACGGCGTGCGAAGTCGTAACATGGGCCGTGGAGTCCGTGTCGCGGAGCTATCGAAGTGTATTTATAAATGACTAGGGCTGCGAAATTAGCGAGAACATGAACGCACTAACGCTCCGAGAATTACTCCCGCACATCCTTGCAGCAGGGATAACTGTGAGGGCAATGGTCAATTTCGTAAGCACCAAGCGCGAGCTCAGAATCTGAAAAGTGTCACGCACAGCACCAATTCCACCGGCGATCCAGCCTCTCCAAGGTTTCTTCGCGAGCACCCAGATGCGCCAGGCAAAAAACGCCTGCACGGAGACGGAGACGATGGCACACATTACGGCGACGAAGAACCACGCATAATAGATGCGCGTTAGGGACATGGGGTCGCCGTAGTTGTAGACGAAGGTCTCGAAGGCGACCCCGGTGACGAGTCCCGTCTGGACGATCTCGAAGACCAATATAAAGTACACTGTACGGCGGGATGAGCGTGCGTTTGAAGGGCACTGCGCGGGTCGGTGACTTTACCTAGGCATTGAAAGAATGGCGGGTCGTCAGGAAAGTTAACGTGATAGACATCTTCCGGGACTTGAGTGAGTTCGATCGGACGGACGCCCGGGAAGGGGGGACGTACAAGTTTGGAGCCCAAGCACGCCGAGGAGGCACCAATTGAAGAAGTAACCGAGAAGCTAGCCGCCGTGCGTTCAGTACATGCACGGCAAGTTCCTGGATGACGTTGCGCACCTTCGGGCCAGCTCTATGTGCGGGCATCAGATGTCGATATGAGCGGCGACCCTCATTAAGGCATGCCAGGGGCGCACTCACAGGATGACGATCGTATGTTGATCGAGAGCCATGGCCGGCGTCGCGGCATGCACACGACCTTCGCGGGGGTTGACGAACACCGGACGACACGCTCACGGATGACGGGAGGAGAGCATGGCAACGGCGCAGCCGGGGGAAACTTTTTTAAAGGCTTGGTCTGGTTTGTCCCTTCGGGGGGCTCGCTGATGGCCGCGTGGTAGTGGGACCGAAGCCGTCGGCCGCAGCGACGACGATAACCGCGGCACCACTTCGTTCGTCGCGCGCAAGCAGACGGGGAGAGGTGGGTGCAGGTGAGTACTTGGGTGTTCACAAGTGTAGTATCAGTGTCGCCGTGTTACAATAATACTGCGTGTCTTGGTCACATTTGCGTGGGCCGTCTTTGTCCATTTCCAGTCTCAACGTCTTGCCGGCAGCTCACAGACCAGTCTTTGATGCGAACAAGACGCAGAAGCGTGTTCTCCCAGGCCCTCCCTCTGCACGCTGTCACCAAGCTGTCACTCACATCAAACTGCGGTTTCGCGCCACAATGTAGACCACTGACCACGGCTCGGATACAGAGAAGTATATAACCTCGTCAGGAAATCAACGCGTCATCGCGATACCCTCGAGAGACAAATCATCATGCCTGATCGTGAGGCCAACTGAGGGATACATCGGCCAGCTCAGATGACGACCTCTGGACAAGCACTGGGGAACGAGCTCAGCGGACAGAGCTCACCCAGCGTCCCTCGCTTCACTCCCCCCTCTTCCTCGCCCCTTCCTCGACGAGCATCGTAATCCGCGGGTACCATCAGGACCGGCATATCCGCCGCGCAGAACTCTTTAGGACCTGACGGCACAGTCCGCACGGCGAGATGGGTACGGGGACATCGCTTGAATGGTGAGGCATCGTCAACCGCTTGGAGGTGATACGGTAAGAAATTAACGAGCGCGCCTGACAATGGCGATGGCAAGAAACGAGGAATAGCCGTCGCTCTGGCGTAGGTGAGGTCAGAGGGCTGGCGCGTACAGGCGACAACTCACCACAGCTTTCACTATAGCTGTTCGTTCAGCGCAGATGGCACCTGTACCGACTCGCCGTGTCGTGCATCAGTCAGTACCACATCGCCGACGGGACATCTACGGGCACTCGCCAGAGGTCACGGAATCCACACTCGCGCCCTTGATGACGAGGTTGTCTGCTGTGAGCAAGGCTGCGCCGACTCGGAAAGGCGGGTGTCCTGGGCTGCTGTAGGCGTGGTCTCTCCCTACTCCGAGTAGAGGTCAGATCGCGCGCATCAGAAAGCTCGTCGTCACACATGACGTAGCCAGATAGGTATGTTACCTTCAAACGCAGCCCTGATGAGCCGATCTTGGACATCGAGCGATAGGTCGTACTTTCCCTCGGGAACGGTCATCGCAGCTTGGGTGTACAGTATACCAGGTCCGCCACGAAGGGTCGAACCCAAACAGAGTGTCCTGCCACGTTACCACCCTCCTTCGATTCCCACCACAACGCTCATCCACTACGTGCGCACATATCTCGGGACTTCCTTGGGCACATGCGACGGCCCTCGAGGCGCAGATCCGGGACCCGCTCCGGAAATGAAGACGAAGTAACATGCTTCCGGGCACACTACAATGCGACGCCTGTTTCGATGGGAAATGACGCACCGCAAGACGTACCGTGTACGAAGCCCGGAGCTTAAACCTTGCTGCGCAGACTCGAGGAATAGTCCCCGGCGAACGAGAAGGCTCACAATCGACGTACTGGAGGGAAGCGGACGTAGCGTTGGCGAACGCGATGACGCTCGCCAGCTGCTGGTAGCCGCACAACGAGCTTCAAGCCGATGAACATCGGCGGCCGTGCAAGTAAGGAGAGCGTCCGCGCTAGCAGCGTGCAGCACAGAGTGGTCCTGGAGTTGGTGCGGCCTCGTCGTGTCCCCTAAGTCCACTTTCATCCGGTGGGAAGACAACATGCCCCGACGCAGCAGTGCAAGCGCTGTGGGATTGGGAACAGAGCGCACCAGTTTCAGGTACATGCAACAGTGATAAGTTGGACGCATCGAAGGGAACGTGTATGACGAACATGTTGTTTCGGGACCTTGTTCGTCCACCCTTCCAAGCTGACAGCTTCGAGGAATCAGAAACCGAACTTCCAAGCAATGACCTCACCTTTACTAGTCGATTGCCGCCATCTACTGTCGGGCTGCCTGTTGCAAGAGTTCTGCGCACTAACCTCGGGGCACCCCAAGACCTGCATGCACGGAAGGGCGCGCAGGGTTGATCCTGTCCGCACAAACGGCACCGCCTCAAGCACTTAAGCTGGTGATCGAGTGTGGAGCCGGGCCAAGAGTCGGACTCTGCGTTAGTCTGACATGGGCCGCCAGAGTTTGGCGGTAGACCGTCGAGCCATGCGTTCCTGTCGACCGTCGACGTCAGTCAATCAGACCTACCACAGCCGCGCCAGCCTACCGGGCGTATCTTGTGCGCATCGCAGACCAGAGGACGACAGGTGCGAAAAAAGGACAGGCTCCGTTTGGATAAAGATAGACTGTGAAAGACAGATATAAAGTAAGCAAAGTATGTGCGCGGTCAAGACGTATATTTGTGCAACATGGGTCAGATACGAGTGGTAGTGGTCCGTCGAGAGGGGAAGTCCGTGTGACTAGTCCCAGGCGCGCAGGCAGCAAGCGCGGGCATGTGTAGTCAGGAGATTAGGTCGTGCCAGACGAGACACCGTGGAGGTTCCTTCTGTACGTCGGGGATAGGTAGGTGGTGTGGGGGTAGTAGGGTCATCAAATCGAGCGAGGCACTGAGGCTGATAACAGTCCGTCCGCATCGTCCAGGCCCTTCCAGGCCGATGCATTTTGCGACAGTGTACAACAGGTTAAGTTTACTGGCGCAAGCCGTGAGTAAGAAACGTCAGACGGGACTGCTCAGCATAGAGCAGTCCCGGGCAGGTATCGTAACCGTAAAGGGGAGGGCGCGCACGGGCGTTTATACGAAGACGGCCATGAAGCCCCGACGACGCCGAGGATCACGGTCGCGAACAGAGCGCTCGCGGGCGCATCAGAGGCGATCAGCCGGACAGCGCCGCCCCCGCTTGCGCTCTTCGAGCCAGAGGCCGCCGCGCCGAGACCAACGGGTGGGTCGAGACACCAGCGAGCGTCGTGGTCGCGGTGGGGATACCAGTGCTGCTCGCAAACGCGTCAGCCGCGACACAGCTGCTGGTAGCGCTAGAGAACTGGGCGGTTCCGCTGATGCTGGCGCTCGAAGCGAGCGTGGCGAAAGCCCACTGGCAAGCAGACGACGTGCGGCTCTGCTCGTTGTAGTATATCTCCATCGCGATGTTGAGCTGCTGCAGAGGGTTGCACATGGACAGATCGCCATATGAGCCCGACGTGCCGTTGCCGGTAATGGCGCTGCAAGCCTGCGACGAAGTACCGCAGATCGTGCCGATGGCCGTACCAATCTGGCCGGCATCGTCAAGAGAGTAGGTCGAGATACACGACAGCTGGCTCGCGATACAGTCGCAAAGACCGCTGTTCGGCGTGGGCGGCAGGGAAGTGGCCACGGGCCAGCTGGCATTGCTCATGGGGCATGAATCCGGGAGGGAGATCGAGGGGGAGTACGACGCCGACGCGAGCGAGGAGCCAGTTGCGGTCGCGTACTGCGACTTCAGGTTGTTAAAGTCTGTAAGCGTAGAGACAGACGAGCCGTCCGACGAGATGTTGACGAGACCGTAGGCGTTGGACTGCTCAATGTACTCGTAGATGATACCTCCCGACCAGACGTTAGACATGTCCGAGCTGTACAGGACAGGCACGTCCTGGAAAGCGCGGGGCTCGACGGCGTTGCAGCCATACTCGGAGAAGAAAGCGGGAATGCCAAGATTGGCCAACTCCTGCGTGCGAGCCGAATATCCAGAAGTCTGGAAGTCGCTGTTGCCGCACCACTCGTAGATGTTAAGACCCCAGTAGTCAAAGATGGACGAGCTGTCCTCTCCGCATGCGAGGTAGTAGGGAAGAGTCGCCCGGGAGTTGGGCGAATCCGTACCAGTGTAACCGACGAGCTGACTGTAGTTGTGCGCAGACATGAAAGCCTTGACGTCGCGCACGGCAGACTTGATGTATGGAGCAGCCTGGTCGTCCGCAAGGGAGCTAATCTGTCGGGCGGTGAGCCGTGAGACACGCCTACTGCGCAGAGGATAGATTCCGACGTACAACTTCGTTACCAATGTTAAAGCCAAACACGTTGGAGTACTGCCCGAACACCTCAATCGTGTTGATGTACTGCGTGAGCAGCTCGAGGTTCCACGCAGGCGAGGAGCCTGAGATCGCCTCGACCTGCGTCGCAAGGTCAACGAGGACGTAGATGCCGGCCGACTCGAGCGCGCTCATGCAGCTGCTGTGGTCGAGACTGGAGTTGACCTGGTAGACGCGAAGAATGTTGACATCGAGCTGCTTGAAGTACGGGATGTCACGGGCGCAGCCAGGGCCGTTGGCGAGGGGGTCGACCTCGCTGACTTGGCCAGAGGGCGGTGTCTGGCCGGATCCATAGTTCGCTGCGCGCGACAAACACGTCAGAGGCGTGCAGGCTTCGCGCGGCCTGGGAAAAGCTCTCACCCGCATACGCGAGACCCTTGAGGTAGAAGCGGTCGCCGGTCGAGGAGTCGAAGAGGAAGGAACCCTTGCGAGCGATGGTGGGGAGGGAGGCGGCGAAGGGGAGGGCCGCGACTGCGACGAGGGCGGCGTTGAAGAGCTTCATGGCCGCAGTGAAGGGAGAGGCAATGGAGGCGAAAGGAAGGACGCGAAATCAAACACAAGCGCCGTATTAGTATCGCCCCCCGGCCCCTATAAATAGGCGTTCCACTACCATTAAATGAAATTACGTAATGTCCTATCTTTTACCAGGCCGGCGTGTGTCCCCGACTTGAGCCAGCCGTGTGCGGCCTTTGGCAGCCGCCTTATGGTCTTCCAGACATCACATCCCATGTTTCGACACGCGACAAAAGGCTGACAACGTTACAAGTGCACAGCGTCGGCCTACTCTTTTCACCCTCATCCCGCTATGCCTCGGGCGACAGACGCCGTTCAAATCCTTAACCGCGCTGTTAGCCTCCCTCCTGCCGCCGAACCTATTCCTGTACTTCAACATAGTTTGCTGCCGCCAAGTAAGCTTCCTGATAACGAGCCACCATCACACGCAGTCTCGACTCACCAGGGAACAGCCCCACATTGCCGTGCTGGTCCTGCCCTTGCCACCAGTCCTCCGAGGCGGCCTCGATCTCCACAATCCTGTCCCCTTCTCTGAACGACAGCTCGTTGTCCTCGGCAGCGTCGTAACTGCACACCACGTCATCAATACCCGCTGTCAATTTGCTGATGGGGATCCAGTGTACGTACTCATATAGCGCGACCGCCGTAACGCCCTGTGGCTCGGGCTCAGGTTCCGGCTCGGCCGCAACAGGAGCCGCAGCAGGGGGCTGCATGACACAAGTCAGCCTTCTACCACAACTCTCCCATATCGCGGCTACATGAGACTTACCGGCGGTGGTGGTGGCGGCGGTGGTGGCGGCGGCGAGGGGGGCGGGGGCTCAGCAGCCTCCACCTCCTGCAGCTCAACTAATTCTACGTAGTTTGCTAAGAAGCGTCATCGTCAAAACTCGTCAGCCTTCTTCCATTCATTCCGGACCAGGTAAGATGAGAAGATTCAAGGAAGCAACGAGAAGGAAGCAAAATGAAGCGAGATCTGATCCTCCGATCACGGACCAGCCGCGGATGCAGACGAGGACACTCACCGGGAAGAGTCCTCGTTTGGTGCCGCCGTCGCCCACGCCGGCCCACCAGCCCTCGTCGAGCTGCTCGATCTCCTCGATGAGCTCGCCTTCAACGAGGTTCATCTCATTGTCCTCCTGCGCGTCGTAGTCGAATGCACGACGCGCAGAGCCCGCGCCCTGCGAGTGCGCCGGTGCAGCCACTGGCTCTGGCTCTGGCGCGGCCTGCACGACCGGGGAGGCGGCGGAGGGGGAGGAGGGGGCTGGAAACATGTTTAAGCTAACGAGGAAGCAGATTGACGGGACAGATGCGTACGGGCGGAGGGGTGCAGCTTCTTCTGCAGCAGGCTCTTCGTACTCAGCTCCGGAGCCGGTGGTGGCGGCGGTGGAGGGGGAGGTGTCGACACCAGCCGCTGGGACCGGTGGACGCGTCGCAGCTGGCGGCGGGGCGGGGGTGCAGGTGCCTTCCGAACGATCAACATCCCGCTCGAAATTACATCTCGCATACTCACCTCCCAATCCTCTTCTTCAGGCTCAGGGAGGGGGGTGCGGCAACCGCAGGTGGCTTCCATGCGGACTTAGCAGCAGCAGGCGGCGCTGATACGACGCGGCCGACTCCGCGTTCCTCCTCTTCCTTTTGCTGTTCGCAAGGGCTTGACGCTCACTCCAGGTCAACTTCTTGCCCGCCGTGGGCTGCGCTTGAGCTGGCGGGCTCCGCTTGCGTCTGGGCTTCTCTCGCCGCGAAAGGGTTGACAAGTCTCTTAGGCTGCAGCTTGATCGGTGTGTACGCTGTGCCCACGGGCCGATTTGTCATCCTCAACCGGCTTAGACGCGGCAGGTGCTGGAGCTGGAGCCGGGGCAGGCGGAACAGCCCTTGGTGCGGCCTACCCATCGTGAGTCCAAGGCTGACATGGTTTACAGTAGTTCGTACGTACAGGAGCTGCATGCGCCGCGGCGCTTCCCCAGACAGGCGGCCGACTCGCAGACGGAAGTGCAGGAGGCGGTGCAGGTGCGCTTTCTTCCGGCCACGCGTCGGCGGGCGCCCTGCTCGTGACGGGTGCCCTACCCATGCCCGCAGCGGGACTTGGCGCCACGGGTACCGGTCGTGGTGCACTGGGCATGCTGGGCTTGGGCGCACTGGGTGCAGCCGATGCCCTCATTCCTGCGATATCTGGCTTGCCAATGGGGGTATAGTTTGTGCCTACGGGTGCGATGGGATCGAATCTACGTGGTGCCTCCTTTGGGAGGAGTACTTCGCGCCGGAGGCGGCTTCAACGCGAGACATGATCAGGGACGGAGTGACGTCGGACTTCGTCGCGAATGTTAGGGTAGAGCAGCACGCATAGAGTCTGGCATACCTCGTTGCGAGCGTTGACCACGACGTGGGTGCCGCGGAGGAAGTTGGCGACCGCACTTGAGTGGGTATGGAAGAGGCCCTTCCTAGCTACGGGCACGCCATCACCACACCAGTTGATTTGGACGACCTTCGGTAGGTTGCTCTATAGCTTGTCTATCAGTCTACGAAATATAGCAACACGGATGAGAGCGTACGTTGGGATCCTTGACGCGCGCGAGCGCGTACTGCATCCTGGATACGGTCTGTTACATGCACAACATACCCAGTGTACCTAGGATGATCACGCACCTTCCGTCAGAGAACTCTTCCTGGAGTTCCTCAAGACCGCCATCCCCGGTCGCCTGGACTTTCAGATCGTTTGTGCCTTTGTCGTAGCTGAAGATGGCCCAGTCGATACCATTCCCGTTCACCACGTCCTGGTACGCCTGTGCCAAGTCTCTACCTGACAGGTTTACCTGGTGCGACATGTGGTAACGTCTCTCCTAGCCTAGCGAGCAATAGTGTTATTCAAGAGGAGAGCAGATTGGAAGATGCACAGTGCGGGACGCGCGCGCTTTGGACTGGTCGTTGTGCGCTGCGGGCGGCGATGACGGGGACGCGGGCACGGTCGAGGAGTTCCCACGCTCATCTCGGTGACTTCACCCGGCGCTACGCCCGACAGCCACCTCCGAATACACCGCGCCGATGTTCGCTCTCCCTTCTCTCACTGTGCTTGCTCGGGGAATACTCGTGGACGAGACTCGTCTATACGACGCCCAAGGCATTTCCTGAGGCATCAGTCTATTGTTATCATAGAACCAACTCGCATGGAATGGACAAAGACATCCGAGTCGCCGATGGACAAGGTGGGCCTTCGTCGCGGCCTTTGAGATCTGTACTGACTGTATGCTTATAGCTACAATCAACCCTAAACTCAACTTCCTGGCTGGAACCGTAGCTGGTGAGCAGGATCGTTTTGATGATCATCACGAAAAGGGCTCAACCGACTGCCCTGCAGGTGTGGCCGCGGTTGTCGTTGGTTTCCCGTTCGACACAGGTGAACCATGATGTCGAGCGATTGCAGTTCATAGCATTGATGGCCCACAGTCAAAGTACGATTCCAGGCCGCCGTTGCTAACCGGGCTTACCGCTCGACTTTCCACGCGCTCCTTACTATCCTACGAGAAGAGCGCTTGAGTGGACTTTACCGAGGTGTTTTCGCTCCCATCGTGAGTACACTTCTACGCTTGTGGATTGATAAGCTTTGACAGTGTTTAGATTGGTGCTGCGCCTCTGAATGGCCTAGTCTTCTCTTCGTATGGCTGGCTCACGAAGGTTCAGCTTGAGACCGAGCGATCCATCCCCACGCTCACCCAAGTCACTCTTGCTGGCGCAGGCACTGGTATTATATGCTCGTACGTTGTGTCATCTCGTCATGCCGACATGTCTATGACCTTCGCTCACTAACTCTGTTATCTGCATACCCATCCGAAGGCTCGTCACCTCGCCCGCAGAGTTGATCAAGACCCAGCAACAACTTATGCAGGCCGCAGCAGCTAACGCCACGTCGCCCGCCGGCTCTCTCAGCGCGTATGACGTTACCCAACGTATCTTCAAGCAGCACGGTGTCAAAGGTCTGTATCGCGGTATCACCTCGACAGCGCTGCGCGACATCGGCTACGGCACCTACTTCTACGCCTACGAAGCTACCGTCCGCTACTGGCCACGATCGCCCTCACAGCGGGCATCCAACGTGACTCCATGGCTAGCAACTCTCGCGGCAGGTGGTCTGGCGGGCATCGCAGGCTGGGTCGTCACCTTCCCGTTCGACGTCGTCAAGACGCGCGTGCAAAGCACTTTCAGCAGATCAGCCGAAAACCCCTACCGGAATATGCGGACCACGATCGTCGCATCCTACCGCACGGAGGGTTTCCCGGTGTTCTTCCGCGGGCTCGCGCCGACGCTGATCAGGTCCGTGCGCCAGCCTGGTTATTCTGAGACGAGCTACTTATAATTGACGCACCCTCGAATGGGTGGTGCTGGTCTTCATAGGGCTATTCCTGTCAACATGGTTACCTTCACGACCTTTGAGACCATTGTACATGCGTTCTCGTGAGAAGGCTCGTCCGGTGATCGTGCAGACGCTGCGTACAGCGTGATTGCCCAGGTGGATGCGGCGGCCTTCGGACGCTGCCACCGATGGCTCGGCTCGCCAGTGCAGCAGATCCTCAGATAACAAGTAACACGACACTCCCGAGCTCGACGTCCCGAGTGCACAAGCAAATTGCCTGGAGTTGAACGACTGGAGTCTACGATTTTGTTTGCGTCGCCTGTACTCAGCAGTGGTTGTCCTTTATGAATCTCTCCTGTCTCACGAACGGACCATTCTCGGCTCGAAAGCTGTGGTCGATTGTGCCAACGGGTACCATATGAGGTCCGTCAAACTTCCAAGGCGCTTGGCTTCCTGAATGCGTACGTTGTCAAATGCGATCTTGGCCCCGAAACACTGATCCTAAACAAACAGGGTATCTGCTCTCTGTGGGTTCGGCCAATAGTCGATGGTCGACTGTCATCAAAGACACGGATCTGAAATTGACAACCGCAGTTGACTCTGGTCGTTCGATCCGCTGGCTCTTGCACTGCAAAGTGTCAGCCACGATCACAGCCAATGCAGTACTTCTTGTCAAGGGTGCTTGTCCCCAGCCATGTCGCGGGACGCTCCTCTTCCCCATACCACAACCATCTCGAATTTTCCCACGCTCGGAAAATAGAGAAAAAACGGTAGATGAGTAGAGCTAAAGAGACCCACGAGGGGGTCGGTGGAGACCATAGGCACCAGCCCTATCCTACACGTACGCACGAGGGAGATCCAAAGAGCCAAGGCCACCAGGTCGAGGGGAAAACGCGAGGGAAGCCCGAGATCCCGGCGCTAATACCGACGACGCCGAGTCGAGGACGCACAGTCCTCGACAAGCTTGCTAAGTCCATCAGAAGATCCCCTAAACCACCAACAGCTGCCATGATAGGCATAGAACAGACCTACGAGTCCGAAAATTGTGAGGAAAACGAGACGGAGGTAGACAAGGCGAGTATGGAGTCGCCGACCCCAAAGCCGTCCAGAAAGAACACAGACATGAGAATGAATGAGGACATCGAAGACCTGTTCAGCCCGAACAAGAACAAGGGAGACGAAAACATGCGCAAAATGATACTCCTAGAGGAGGCGCTAGGACGTGCAGCAGAGTTACTGAAGGAGATGTCCATCCACGCTGAGTACACGAGCACAGTCACCGAACACGCTGAAACCATTGCAGAACGACTCACCAAGCCAAGAGAACCACAGGTAGTCCCAACGACTAGGCCGGCGTCGCCAACGCCGCCCACCGCAAGCGCCGAAACAAAGCTACTGGACAGCATAGCGAAGACGATTGATAGACTGGCGACCCGGATGGACGCCATGGAGGCCAGGAACCCAGCCTCCACCCCCGACACCATCTATTCAGAGGACGACACAGCCACCATAAGGACGACAACCACCAAAACC